AGGAGAACGAGGTTCCCCGTGGAGCTCTGGGTCGACACCAAAAGGGGAGAAGTGTAGGGGACAGAGCAGAGCGAGGTGCAGGAGGGATCGAAGTCCTCCATCGAAACCAAGCAAAACCGGACACCCCAGCTCACCACAGGGCCCACGTCTGCCAGGACAAGCCAAAAAGAGGACCACAGGACTCCACGACTCTCATGTGCGTGATTTGGAAACAACAGATTAAAGAAAAACACCCGTTCATGGGCTGCGCTGGTCTCATGGGCTGGGCTGGGCTCGGCGGGAGAGCGCTCACCTAGCACAGGGAGGCCCTGGGTCCATCCTCAGCACCCCGTAAAGATAAATAAGTGAAATAAAGGTGTCGTGTCCAACTAAAAAATAAGTATTGGGAAAAAAAAAAGAAGACAACCCTTCGCTGCAGCCCACACTCTGGGACAACACAGCCCATCACCTCCCAGTGCCCTGCCTGGCATACAACCACTTACGTCTCGTGCCAAGCAGAGCCGGCTCCTGGGGCGCCGAGGGAGCCAGGAGCCGCTGCCAGCAGGGCCATCTGCTCGCCTGCTCCCACAGCCGACCCCACAGTGACGGAGCGCTGCGTCCAACAGGGTCCCGTGAGGGGCCGCAGCCATCTGCCCAGGCAGAAAGCAGGGCACGGAGGGGGCCCCGGGCTCTACTGCCACATCATCACCTTCCCGGCACGGGAGGGTCAGTTCCTGAGACACTTCCCAGAAGGCCTGCAGGGGAGCTGTCAGGTCCCGGCGCTGACTCCGTGCCGTGCGCATCCCTGACCACATCTCGTGAGGACGCGCCTGGCACGGAAGCAGCCGGCTCCCAGCCAGAGCATCTGGAGGTGGCCCTCTCAGGACCCGGTGCAGCCCCAGCAGGGAGGTGGCCCGCAGGGAGGTGGCCTGCTGATTCTTCCACGCTGGGAACTAACACTAAGGAGACACAGGACCCAACCTAACAAACGAGCCCAGAGGCACCGGACTCTCCGGGGGAGCTTCACAGAGGTGCCCGCACCCCGGAGCTGGAGCAGCGCTACCTCTGTTCCCAGACCAGAGCCGGGGCAGAGGGACTCCACGGCTGGCACAGGGGCAGAGCCAGACACAGGCCTGGTGGCTGTGCCCACGCGCTCCCCTCTGCACCTGCTCTTCCTTGGCCTGTAGTAAACTGCAGGGTCCAAAGTCCATGGCTCCCAACCAGTAAATGCTGTGTGCAGGCAGAGCGCCCAGAAGACCCAGTCCCCGGGATTCAGCAGCGGCCGCCCAGGGTCGAGCCAGTGACTCCTCAGAGGCATGGAGAGATGTGACCACTACAGGTGTCCCTTGGTACCCAGAGGGCACTGGTTCCAGGACACCCTGAGGACACCACAAACTGCAGACGCTCCATCCCAGATATAAAAGGCGTACGTACCAACCCACACAACCTGGGCACTCTGTGCGCTCTGAATCTTCTCTCCTGATCACTTAGGGTCCCCAAGGCAACAGGGACGCAATGCAAAAGCTCTACCGCATTGTTCAGGGAACATGGCGAGAAAAATGTTAAAAAGGGAGTCCATCCAGGTTCAGTACAGCCCGCAGCAGCAGCAGCAGTGACAAACCTGGCACCTTATTTTTTTCTTGAATATTATAGATACACAGTTGGTTACATCCCAGGATGGAGACCCAGGGACAGGGCACTGACTCTAGGACACACAGAGGGAAGGAAGGAGGAGAGAGGAACCCCGGTGCCCGTGGGTCTCCGGCCACACCCCAGAAGCTAAACAGCAGCGGAGTCCCTCCAGGATCAGATCAGGGACAGAGAATCTGCTGCCCGGACTCCCCTGGCCCCAGGCAAACAGAAACAGCTGGCCACCCTAGACCTCCCTCCCAGACAGGCTGAGAAGGCCTGAGAATGCAAATGAGGACCCCCTGAGTGAGTTTCAGTCAAAGGTTAAAGGGACAGAGGAGGGTCTGGGGGCTGGGAGGACCCACAGGCAGGAGGAGACCTTGGCCTGAAAGGTGGGGCTGGGGGTGAGCTGGCAAAACAGAGAGGAGGGGCCGCCCCATCCCATGGTCATAATGGCATGCAGGACCTGCTCTGTGCAGGAAGGGGGCCTCAGGCTGGAGGGACTGGGCATCCTGGGAAGCTCCTGCCCTGAGGGTTAGCAGGAGTCCTCAGAGTGGAACCCCAGGGAGACCTGGGACCACCTGGGCGCTCTCAGCCACATTCCCTCAAGTGCAGGTCCAAGAGGGCCAAATGAACAGGACAACTGAACTGGTCTACAGAAAGGTGATAAGGGAAGGTACACGCAGGGCCAGAAGCAACAGAAGTGTCATGGTGACCTCCTCTGACCACACTGTCTCACCTCCCCCTGGGAGAAGCCCCTCCAGGGTGGTTTTGAGGATAACTCCCACGCTTTCATAAGGCCCCATCCAGCTCCCGACCAGGCAGAGGAAGGGGCTTCTTCCTACTGAGAAAGGGCCACATAGACCTCTCCATGTCACCCACCGCCACTTACAGTTCTTAACTCCAAATGCAAAACACAGGCAGCTAACATGATCCCCAGAGAGGTCTAGGTGACAGCTCAAGGTCATCTCCTGAACAAGAGGGGGAGAGGGGGCAGGGGAGGGGAGGGGCCTAGGGGCAGTCGGAGACCCAGCCCTCGCCCTCGCCCTCGCCCTTGCCCTTGGTGGCAGCAGCCCCAGCAGCCCCTCTCTCCTCCTCCTCACCACCAGCCTTCGCTTCCTGTTTTCTCCCAGCACAGGGGCCGGTCTCCAGGCCCAGCCCCCACGGAATGCAGCTGTTTCCAGCCTGGGAACCCCCTACCGACCCAGATCCCCAGGGTTCAGAAGCCCATCTGCCCTGGGCTGAGCCTAACACGACAGTGAGCAAGGACCCAGCTCCTGGGTTCTGCAGGCCGCTGTTTCTACCCAGGAAATCTTGACAGAGTGAGCGTCCCCCTTCCTGGACTCAACCCCTGGACACCAGGTTCCTACCGCATCCCCCTGGGCGGTTAACCAGGAGCATGCCCATTCTCAGGGATGAACTGTTGACTGTCATTTCTGTAGACCGATTTCCTTTTCCAAAGAATGAACCATATCCCTGACAGTGTGTTTACTTTCTTTTTCTTTGAACATTCCAAGGTCTAATTTCAAGATTGGCTCCTTGGTACAAAGAAATACATTATATAATAAAGCGCTGAATCCTCTGTGAACCAAAAAATTCCTAAAGAGAAGGGCTTGCTGGGCACAAAGGTACACTCCTGTTAATCCCACCTACTCTGGAGGCAGAGGCAGGAGGACTGCAAATTTGAGGCCAGTCTAACAATTTAGCAAAACCCTGTCTCGAAATAAAAAATAAAAAGGAAGGGCTGGGGATGTAGCTCAGTGCCTCTGGGTTTGATCCTAGTATTGGAAAAACGAAAAAAAAAAAAAAGCAAAAACCACAACAGAGAGAAGACCTTAATTTTTGGCAAAAACAACAACAAAACAAACGGCTCAGGAGGCTGAGGCAGGAGGATCACAAGTTCAAAGCCAGCCTCAGCAACAACGAGGCCCTAAGCAACTAGGGAAACCCTGTCTCTAAATAAAATACAAAACAGGGCTGGGGATATAGCTCAGTGGTCAAGTGCCCCTGAGTTCTATCCCCAGTACCCCCACCCCCCCCCCAAAAAAAAAAACCTACAAAAAAAATATCATTGGTAAGTGAGGATGATATCTTGAGGAATTTTTTTTTTTTTTTTAATGAGCACAGATAGCACACACACACACACAAAAACCACCTCAAGTTAACTATTAACTTAGGGTCTAAATATCTGTTTCAAATGAGTGCTGTGCTTACCTCAAAAGGCTACCTTATCAAAAGTAGTATGAAAAAAAATGAGGGCATATTAAAATAATTGTTTTCTTAAAAAAAAAAAGAGGAAAAGCCAGATGTGGTGGTACACAGCTGGAGTCCCAGCAACTTGGGAGGCTGAGGCAGGAGGATCACAAGTGGGAGGCCAGCCTTAGCAACTTGATGAGACCCTGTCTCAAAATATAAAAAGGGCTGGGGTTGCAGCTCAGTGGTAAGAGCACTCCTGGATTCAATCCCCAGCACTGCAAAAACAAAACACAAAACAAAACGAAACATCAGAGGAAAAATCTGCAAGAAAGTACATAAAACAGTGCACAACGGTAATGCTAAGCTGATAGAATAATGGTGATTATTTTCCTTCTTTTTCCAAATGCTATTGCGTATTATCAAAGGTGTGTACAGGGCTGGGTACGGTCAGGGGAAGAGCATGGCTCAGAATGCTCAGGGGCCTGGGCTCCAGTTCCAACGACACCCCCTCCCCCACCAAAGCTGTTTACAGTTAAACATGTCTAATTTTTCTGTTTGGGGGTACTGGGAACTGCATTCAGGGGCACTCGGTCACTGAGCCACATCCCCAGCCCTATTTTGTATTTTATTTAGAGACAGGGTCTCACTAAGTTGCTAAGGGCCTCACTATTTTGCTGAGATTGGCTTTGAACTCTCGATCCTCTTGCCTCAGCCTCCTGAGCCACTGGGATTACAGGCATGTGCCACTGCGCCCAGCTTTTTATTTTTTTAATATTTATTGTTTAGTTGTAGTTAGCCACAATACCTTTATTTTATTTATTTATTGTTTTATGTGGTGCTGGGGCTCGAACACGCTAGGCAAACGCTCTACCGCTGAGCCACTACCCAGGCCCCAGCTTTGTTTGTGTTTGTTTTCTGAAACAGGGTCTCACTATATTGCTCAAACTGGCCTCAAACTTGTGATCCTCCTGCCTCAGCCTCCACAACAGCTGGGATGGTCACAGGACCATATCTCCATGCCTGGAGATTTTAAAAGCAGTACTTTTATATTTATGTATGCTTTATGAATAATTGTAAAAGCACTAAAAAAAAACTTGGTGTATTCTTTCTGAGGTTTTCTCTTTAAGAAGGGAACAAAAGTATCCCAAACCTGTTTGGAAGAAAGACTGAACAACAAAAACGAAAGGCCTCCTTACCTGAGGTTTAACTTTCGGTCTTCATCGCTGCCAGCCTCCAACTAGGGAGAAAGAAAGAGAATGTCACAGCCAGACAGCACTGTCAACAAGCCTCAGACAGCAGGCTCCGGCCCTCTGCCCTGGTGTCGGGAGAGATAAAGATGTCCAGGAAACCTGGCCACTTGAAACAGCCCTGCCCTTTCCTGGCCAGCCTGGTCTGCTGTTCCCCTGGGGTGATTCCCAGGGAGGAATTTCCAGATTTCTAACTGTATGCCAACCCTCCTGCCACCCACGGCCTGGAGGGCTGAGCCCTGAGGGACCATTTCCCACCTGACAGTCCTTCAGCCCTTAGTGCTCTTCAGACTTGCTCTAGATCTCACCCTGGGTTATTTCATTTCATTTTTGTTTTTGCTGTTGTTTGTTTTTTCTCTTAAAGGGAAGGGGCCGTGTTTAATGGAATCCACTTCCTCTGCCAACCCGGCGACAGCCCTGAGAGGAAGACCATTTAAGAAATCCATTCCAGGCAAGTCTTGGACCGTGGAGGGCAGCCAAGCAGCTGGCCGTTCGTGGGCCTGAGACGCTCTTGCTGGTTCTCAAAAAGACTTAAATGTTTAATATGGAAGGTTCCAGGCTGCTGCTTCATTCATATAAATGAAAGGAAGTAATACCCAATATTTTCTAAAAGCGAAAGGCCGAGAGGTGGAACTCCAAAAGTCACTCTGACTGAAGTCCCAATCACTTATTTTTATTTTACTGTTTTCCAGAAATGAGCAGAAATCACGCGTGCCCCCCAAACGCCTCCGCACCCCAGGGACGTACACAGAGGCGCCCAGTGAATGGAGAAGGAAGCCCTGGGGAGGCTGGGTGGCCAGGAGAGGCCCACTGAGGGCAGGACGAGGCAGAGGCCCAGGATGCCAGGAGAAGGCCCAGCGCAGCAGGGGACACACCCCCAACAGGGAGGTGGCAGTTCCAACAAGAATGAGTACACCAAGGATCCCGGAATCCCGAGTGGTGTGGAGATGACGCTCAGCACCATGCAGAGGCGTCCATGTGCTCAGGGTCCCTTCCCCACACTGGAGAAGTGAAACCCGACCACGGGGCTGGGTCCTGCAGAGAAGTACAACACTCTGACCCGGTGGCTCTCCACGAGGGGACACTGGGCGGCGACCAGAGGCGTTTGTTGTTGTTGGAGGGTGCTACTGGCATCTAGTGGGTGCAGGAGGGGAAGCTCTGAGCATGGCACAGCACGTGAAGAGCCCCCCGGAACAGAGAACCCCGGGATCCAGGGGTCAGCAGGGCCCAGGCAGAGAAACCCTGGCCGCCCCCCCACAAAACCACTTGGCAATTTGCTTATGAAAATCGGTCACCTTGAATCTTGGTCAAAAATAACAATGTTATGATCCACTCCTGAAAGCTATTGATTTATCTACTCTCTGCTCCGCCTGTTCCCACAAAGGACCTGAGATAAGCTCATGCATGAGATAATTACAGATTGAAAAAGAAAAGGGAAAAAAAAACTGAGGAGAGAGAGTTGCTCCAGGGCCCAGGGCTGTGATTTCCCTCAGAGTCCCACAGCTGTGTCAGGAAGCTGCTGAGGTGTCTGTGACTCACCCAAGGAGCTGCCCTTTGATGAGTGATAAAGGGACGTGGGGGTACAGACTTCACAGCCACTTGATTCTCAGCCAGCCTCTGAGGCTTTGATGCAAGGCAAGGTGAGGTCGGTTACCCCAGAGAAGCTACAGAGCGTCTTGAAGAGGTGACCCAGTCCTTTCAGAGGACCTGAGGCACAGAGAAGGGAAGTGACCTTAGAAAGGGTAGACCAGAGGCAGAGCCAGTCTGGACCCGGGTCTGCTGACTCCACACACACCTGCCCTCCCTTCCAGCCGGCTTCTGGCCTCACATCTGGAAGACAGCCTCACCCTCCTGAAAACAGGCCAACCTCTGCTCCTCATTGAGCAAAAAAGGCTGCTGATATACTAAAGTCAAATAAAATCCAGCTGAGTTTTATTCTGCTCAACTAGGTCCTTGGTGCTTGGTTTAAAAAAAAAAAAAGACACTTTATATAATAATTTAAAATGGGCCTAGTGGAAAGAAAACAAATGTGCAACCAAACGTGGTACATGTGTACGACAGTGTTATCAAACACAAAAAAGGAATGAAGTAACCGGGCGAGGTAGCACACACCTGTGATCCCTGCGACTCGGGGCAGGCTGAGGCAGGAGGATAGCAAGATCAGGGCCAGCCTCAGCAACTTAGTAAGGCCCTAACTAAGTCACTCAAGGAGATCCTGTTTCAAAATAAAAACTAAAAAGAGACAGGGATGGAGCTCAGAGGTTAAGCACCCCTGGGTTCAATGCTAGGTACCGAAAAGAAAAAAAGGTGATGAAACACCACACAACATGGAGGAACCCTGGCCAAGTGAACAAAGCCGGACACACAGGCCACAGGTCGGATGATTCTAGTTCCATGAAACGTGCAGAACAAACATGGAGAGAAAGCCAATGAGTGGAGACCTAGGGTTGGGCAGAATGGGAAGGGGAGGCCGCAGGTCGTGCCCACGGGTTTCTTCCTAGTGATGAAAACGTTCGGGAATTATAGTGGTGGTGGTTGCACAATCTTGTGAATATATTAAGATCACTGAACTGTACACTTTAAAATGGTGAATTTGTTAGGTGAACATATCTCAACTAAGAATTAAATTCTAGAAGTGTGTCTAAGACAGGAATAGATTGAGTAGGGTTCAGGAATCAGAAAACGCAGGCTGAGACGCCCTGTGCAACCCCTTCCTGAAGCCAAGCTCTCCCCTCAGCTCACATATGCGAAAAGAACAGGAGATGAAGTGCACTGTAAAGTACTTTGTAAACTGCCAGACAGAAGTAACAGGAATGATGGACGAGAACAGATCTCTGTGGGGAGCAGCTGCCATAGGCAGCCAAACTTCTCAGTAACAGTAAGCAGCAACCAATGTCCGTTTGCTTCTAATCAGCTCACAGAGGGGGAGTGCTAGAACCTTCTGTCTATACAAGAGATAACTCACTGGCGGCCCTTGGAGAGGAGTGGGCTGTGGAGGCTCAACCTCGCAGCCTCGCTGCACACGTTCCTGCCAATCTCAGCAAAACCATGCTGAAAAGCTACATCGCAGGAGACAAGGCTGCGAGACCCAGCCCGAGTCCCCTCCCTTCCGTCTCACAGAGACTCACACAGCCAGTCAACTTCCCCCACCGAGAGCCGGCCTGACAACTTCCTGGGCCTTCCCTAAAGAGAGTAAGGGGCTCCTCCTCCAGCTGCTCTGTCTGCAGGCCAACGCTCAGCCCGGCCATGGAGAGGAATTTGGATGAGAGGCCTTTACAGGGTTCTCTAAGGGAGGGTGGTGGAGACTGGACCCAGAGGGTCAGCCTATTGAAGCTGAAGAGGAGTGACCTGCTCAGAGGCTGGGGCTCCCATCCTGCAGACTCAGGGTGCCAGTTCCCCCATTTGCCCTAGAGCAAGGAATCAGCAAAACATGAGCTCGGGTCACACAAATACCCTCAAAAACCCTCCCAGTGCAGCCATCTACCCTCAGCTCGGGGAATGCAGCCACCAAATCCCAGGAGGGGCCGAGGCAGGGGGACACAGGCACATGAACACCCAGCCCTAAATGGCGTGATGAAAGGTGAAAATCCAGTCTCAGCTGCACAGCGCCCAGAGCACTCAGTCACTGTCCCACAGACAGCCAGACCTTAGAGGTGTGCAGTCAGGTTCAAGATCTCACACCTTTGCTCGATCAGGGCTGGTGGCCTCGCTCCCACAGCATCACCCCTGCACAGTCCCCAGCCCAGGACCGGGCAGAACGTCACCCACGGACCAAAGTCACCCACAGTCTCACACGGAGCCAGGCACACGGGAAAAGGGCCTAGAGCTGCCACGGGTCACAGATCTCAGGACGGGCGACTCGCGCACACCGGGTCCCCGCACAGCTGCCCCCAGGCGGGGGATCACCACACTGGCTCTCCAGGCCAGCTGCTCATGACGGCTGGTCCCGCGGGGACCCCGCGCCGTCGCCCCCCGCCCCGCACGCGCGGCCCAGGCCCGGGACGACGCTGCCCCCTAGCCGGCCGGGGCGGCGGACCCGGGGCTCACCTCGCTGTTGCTGGCCGAGGAGGAGGCGGCGCTGGGCGTGGGCGAGCGCTGCAGGGTCACCAGGGCCATGGCTGCGGCGCGCAAGGCCTGGAGCTGG